ATATATAGCTTAGGTACAAATGCAATTAAAGTTTATTAAAAATGTATATCAAAATCAAATAGAAACACAGAACTGTTTACATTCTATAACAATAGCAGTAGTGTTATTGTAGTGTATACTACTGATATCGACAGACATAAATAGTATGTAACATCAATCAGAAGTGGAATACCTGGTAGTAGAAGATGTACGTACGTACGAAGTTCTAAGTTGTTACTGACTGAGTAGAAGATTGAGAAGATCGAACTTATGAGAACTGGAATACAATCAGACAGTAATTGAAATAGTATCGAAGAAAAGATGAAGTTTCAGACAACTGATGATAGGTTTCCAAATGAAATATTTACCATTTTATTAAAGAACTTTGTAATTTTATATCAAGACTTTCGGAATATCTTTGAATATAGTTAACATTATCTATCACAATCTCAAAACGATTGAAAATCAACTATTAACACTCCTTACTTTGTGAATAGTTCTCAATAAGTCAGTGACGACTAAAAAATATAAATAATTGTATCATAGATGGATATTTGCGAATAATTTCAAATTACGATCAAATAGCCATCCAAAGCTTCTTTATCATTACTAGCCTTTCAAATATTGTTATTCTATAATAAAATCTAACTTCATTCACCATCATTTTAACTTAATATTTTGTAGTGGATGTAAAGTACAATTAATCATTTTAGAAAACTTAATTCTACCTCATTTAGTTGATTGTTCTTTTTTTTGGTTTCTAAGCAAGCTACATTCATATTTCCACGATTAACACTTAATTCTATCTACATACAACATTATGACGCAGAATTTAAAAAAACCATAATAAGAACAATTCGTTTATCTTCTCTTTGAAAACGTTTAAATTAGATTACCAGGTGAAACGTCTGATTTTTAATTCATATTCATTCGCTAAGGTTTTACAGATAAATTCTACTTAGTTAATGTCTCATATTAGTTTCTTCTTAGCATATAAGCATACAGTACAGGTACATCCAGCCGAGGAGTCACAAATAGGACGAAACTCGGGTCAAACTGGATTACGTTGATACCCACTATTCATCTTTGATTAGAAAGCTTCAGACCTAAGGCAATGTAGAGACAATATGCACAGAATGCACATGTGCGAATAAGAGACTGATCAATTACATATCTAAATTGCAATGGGAAGATTCACGTAAACAACACCAATTGAGTTTAAAACTTCACCTCATTGCACAAGCAGGTGGCTATCAGAATTCAGTAGCTAAATGGATAACGCGATGGCTTTTGAAGCGAACGGTATTGAGTTGGAGTTCGAGAGTGAACATCAACTCTTGGATGCAAGTACATCTGTTTGACGTATCCTAAATATGACGAAACACACGTCAAACTGCTAGCTTCCACTGCTAGCTACTATTCATATTTGTTTCAACAGATATCATATCTACAATGTTTTACTTTTTTCAACATTTATCATTTCTCTAAAAGATTGGTAGAGGTTATTTTTCTATTTTCGGCATAACACAATTAAATTTAAATACAGTATAAGATCATCTGTCTATTTATATTAATTAAGCTGTAGATTAAATGGTAAGCAATAGAGGGAGAGAAGAAAGAAGATGTTCAACTAGGGTATATGTCGTAAAATTTATGTCCCAATTATTTTAATATAAAATTGTCTGTTTCATAATTATTACTATTACGCAATTATTTCATATTTTATTACTACAAAGAATATTGGTCTATTTCGGGGGTGGGGGGAATCAAAATACACTTTGTTGATAATTAAATAAAACTTGTATACTTTATAAGCATATGTTTCACAGCTGTTTAGCTTTATGAAGAATTTTCTTACAAATTATACATCCTTATGTAAAAAATTCATCTAACATGTTACTTGTTTTCGGTTTAACTACAACATCATTAAATGTCGGTTGATAAGGCTTATAAGTATACTGATACTAATCGATATATGCTCACTAGTGCCTGGCTTCAAGAGGTATTTCCTGGAGTTCTAGTGAGAAGCAGTGACCACTGGAGTCCAAACAGGTGTGTTATGAGATAATAACTCATTGGTGACAATGGTGGATATGTCACTCAATTTCGTGGACTAGTTGAAGTTAGACATTAACACCACTGGATTCCGGTTCAGAGGTTAAGTGTTCATGAGCGAAACCGATAAATCCTGCGTTGGAATCTCGTGAGGCGGTATCGTGGATACGCACTGCTTAGGAGTCTCGCAGTTGGACGAAACGGTCATGCAGTGCTTCCAGGTTTTCCATGGTGGTCTGGCTTCAATTGACTCATGATCTCAACTGTTAAAAAAATCATAGGTATAAATTGCGTGGAAGGTGGTTAGTTCATTTATGAATCATATATGCAATAGGATCACCTACTTTACTCCCACAATTCAGTACAACAGAAAACTGTATATAATTATTTAGATGACTAGAAGTTCATTAGTTCCCCCTCCCAATAAAAACGAACAAAAAACTTATAAACATAATAATAATGATAATAGGTACGTGTTATACTAAGACAAGCACCAATAATCAACAGTAAAACAGGATGTCTAAGTATACTGATTCATCTCAAAAAAATATGTAATTGTCTTTTATCACTGATACAAACTGAATCTTAATAAATTACAAGATTAAAATAACTAGACATGAAATTAACGTTTTAAATGGGTAGGTTTAAATAATTCAGTTTTGAAATTTTACTTTCATTGTTGAGATATGACAGTACGAATAAATATGATTCAACCTAGAATATTGCTGTTGTTAAAATTCTCTCTAATCACGACGCAGCTATCCCTATTTACTTAGTATTATTGGACACCAATTCCCTCGACAAGTCCCCAAATCAGAATACAGTTAAACAGGAAAGAAATTGTGTTCCAAATAACAAGGGTAGATGGGAGTAAGAAGCACAATCACGGAAACGTGGATAACGAGGTAGTTTTTGAAGCGAACGATACTGGGTTCTAGTCCCAGAGTGAATATCAACTCTGAGATGCAGGTGCATCCAGCTGACGAGTCCCAAATAGGACGAGACGCGTGTCAAACTGAATCCCAATGCTAGTCACTATCCATATTTGCTTATAAAGCTTGTGACCTCAGGCAATATCGAGGCAGTCCGTACAGGATGCAAATGTGCGAACAAGAGACTGATCAATTGAAGTCCTAAATAACAATATGAAGATACATGTAAACGACACCAAGTGAATGAAACGTTAGTATACTTATAGTTTTTTTTTCACGATTCTAGATTGTTCTTCAAGTGTCGACTTGCGCTAAATGGATAAAAATTAACCAATCAGCGTGCACCAATGCAATCGTTCATGGAACATTCTTTACTCCAATCTATGTCCTGTTATCAGGTGTATTAAAGTATTTTGATGCATTATGTTACATTATTTGACTATTCTTATAGACAGGTCAATCATTTTAATTGATACTGATGTCAGATATATCAGAATGATTGCTTCTTTTTTGTTACTTTCTCAACTAAACACAGGACTAATCTGATGATCTCATAATCAACATGATACATTCAGACTACTGACTAGGAATTTCATTATCTCCCAATATACAACTAATATCAGTCCGCACTGACGTCTCACCTTCAGTTTTTAATTATCTGCCTAAACTACTCAAATAAAAGACGAATTACGAAAAATACAATCATAAAATCAGTAAATGTTGTTAAAATGTTTTCATCAAGTTTCTAAAAAAAATCATCGAATTAGTTTTCCTATACACTAGTGAGAAGATGAGCTCGAACTAAGAAATATCATGTCTTTGCACAATAAATGTTTCAAAATCTGGTCACAAACAAAATTATTTGAACAGTCATCAGCAAAGATGAATAATAGTTAGCAGTGGAAGCTAGCAGTTTGACGTGTGTTTCGTCATATTTGAGATTCGTCAAACAGATGTACTTCCATCCAAGAGTTGATGTTCACTCTCGAACTCCAACTCAATACCGTTCGCTTCAAACGCCATCGCGTTATCCATTTAACTACTGAATCCTGATAGCCACCTGCTTGTGCAATGAGGTGAAGTTTTAAACTCAATTGGTGTTGTTTACGTGAATCTTCCCATTGCAATTTAGATATGTAATTGATCAGTTTCTTATTCGCACATGTGCATTCTGTGCATATTGCCTCTACGTTGCCTGAGGTCTGAAGCTTTCTAATCAAAGATGAATAGTGGGTATCAATGTAATCCAGTTTGACCCGAGTTTCGTCCTATTTGTGACTTGTCAGCTTGATGTACCTGCATCACAGAATGTATTAGAACATTCATTGATGAAAACTATTCAGTTTTTTAAAGTGATTATATATAACAAAAGTGGACATTGGAAAGATGTGTATTTTTATGTTGATATTAACGTGTCTACTGATTATAGGTAGATTTGAGTATCACAACTGTTTTCTATCGGTTGTTTCATGAAAACTTAACTTCCATGTATTAAAATTTAGGTGTTGGCTTTTTAAATGAACTCATAGATGGTGAATGAAAATCCCACTATGTTTAATCATAAAACTGCATTAAGCAGGGTGTAAATGCTTTGTAACAGGTATCATTTTTGACAAAGCAGGTATAACCCTTAGACTGTGAGGGTTTGATATAATCAATTCGATTTATAAATATCACTCTAGAAGAAAGCACTGAAGCCTAGATTCCACATCAGTATTAATAACAAACACGTGTTATGGGTTGTTTACTACGGTGAGGTAACATTCAAAAACAATGGTGGACTGAAAATTTTTCAACCAATAAATTTACCAACTAATGGGCATATGTGTGCATTTATCATTGGATGGTCAAGGCCAATTCCTATGTCTGCACTACTTTAATAGGTTAATACAAAGAACAAAAAAAATCAATAACGCATGTTGTCTTCACAATCATTGATCAGCTGATTTCAGCCCAGTTATAAAGTCTATAAGTGTCAGTAGACAATAAATTTCTTTGTGACAGATCTTCGTTCCTTGAAAGCAGCACAATTCTATTTGAAGTAAATTCTAAAATGTATGTTGTTTTTTTTTTTTTAAAAAAAAAGGTATTGCTGATGTATTTATATTTATAATGTTTAAGTTTAGATTAGAGTTGGGAATAAACTGATGATACTTCTAATTATAGCTAATTGTAGTTATGAAGATTCTCATTAGTGTGTTTTTATTGTTTGATATGTCATAGAATCTTTTATTCATCTATGAAATTTACCGTTTACAAGACAAACTATAATTGTAATGGTTTTTCATAGATCTTAAGCTTTCCACTTTTTGATTCTAGTTTGCTTAGCTGTTCATTTTCAATGTGTTGGCTGAAGTTATGACAGGAGTAGTTTTGATAGTCGTCTTCTCTCTATATCTATTTATATTAGTAGGATTTTTGTTTTGTCCCACTATATTGAGCGATTGTGTCCAGTTGGGCCTATCTTGTTAACTGATAATGAAAGATCATTTTACTCCATTGATTTGATCTTGTATCACTGGTTGATAGTTAGTAAGTAATCTTATCAGTGGAATCGTTCATTTTATATGCATTAATGAAATAAGTCATTGATATTGCGATAAGACAGTAGAACAAGTTAAGGTCATACATTGTATATCTGATAGAATAGTTAAAAAATGTGTATACATTCATTGTGGTCAGTTACATTTACTTGTATCAGAAGGGTTTTTGTGGAGATTGTAGTAATTTCCACAGTTGAGATCATGAGTCAGTGGAAGCTAGAATTTATCGAACCCAGGACTTATCAGTCTCGCGAGGCGGGGTCGTGGATGCGCACTCCTGAGGAGTCCCAAAATAGGACGAAACAGCCATCCAGAGCTTCTATGTTTTCCATGGTTGTCTAGCTTCAATTGACTCACGATCGCAACTGTTGACATTTACTTGTATTTTTTTTAATCGAGTTTTTCCAAAAATCAATTCAAGACAGACTTCATTGATATTTTTGTTTCATTGGAAACATTGAAACATAACTGAGAGTCATTGGAAAGACTGTATTATTGTTGAGCATGTAGATGTACAAAATGAATTTGGTTTTTAATACCTATTGAACAACTGTTAAAGGCTGATTAACTTTTACTTTAAACATCCCTAATAGATAGACAGTTTTATAAAAGAATAAAAGTTATACCAATTCAGCCAGTATTAAGCTAATCTTATCAAAACCATCATTATGTCGATTACATCATTACTTTCATCAACTCTAATGACTTGTGAATTATTCTAGTTTATGAAAGTTTGAGAGTTGATTTGACCGATGCAAATAATTAAAGGGTAGTATAAATAGCATATACATAAAGGAATTCGATTTATGCTATTTGTTATTATATAGGATAAATCAAAATCGGTAATCAACATAATACCTTCATATTTCTTACAAACCTTCATATGCCTCTGTTTGACTTGTATTAAACAGTGTTATTCATAAATATTTATCCAATACTCAGTGTATAGAAATAGATATCCTCTTACTTAATGGATCAGTATTACATCATATGTTATTAACAACATGCATCTGTAGAATGGATATTCTCTATGTTCGAACGTTAACAGTACTAACTTGCATATTATATATGTAATCCAATAGTGTTCACAATTCATATATTATAAATTAATGTAATAAAGAATAGTTGATCAGTATAGGTACTTTAAAATCTGAATAAATTGATGTTTGTATTTAAAATTTAGATGGTTAGTAGAAATAGACAATCCCGGAACTTTATGAACAAATAGACTGGCACTAAAGTCTGAATCATAGATGGTAAACATATATATCGAAGATTTGCTTAGCGAAATGTTAATTCAGTGATTACACTAAACAATTAAGAAAGAAATTGTTCATTATAGTTAAGCTGTATCTAGTTCCTCACTCCCTTAACGTTTGAACGTCATACCGAAACTATAATACGAAGTATCAAATTTAGAAAATACCTTTTGTGATAGACAGTTTTACTGTCCTTTGGTGAACAAATTATATTGGTCAGTGTTTAATTAATTTACAATTCAGTTATAGTGATGGGTCGATCCAAAATTACTTGATCTTATATCATATTTTCAAGAAGATTATAAAGCTAACACTAGTTAATCATTTTTAACGATGCACATTATTAATAGTATTCAGCCAATTCTGTCTAAATGAGAGTCTTTTAAATGGTAGGGGTAATACACTTTACAACTAGAAAAATAATATGAATCCATACTTCCTGTTATGGAAGATCCACCTAGATGAGTTGGAAAACCCCAATTCCAGACGAATAGTGCACATGGGCTTTAGGGAACAAAAGGCGTATGAACGGCTACTATGCAACTGCATCTTGTTACGTTGCCCCATTGCCTTGAGGATAAGGCTTTCAGTTCAAAGGCTCGCTTCCCTTGAATTTCGGAGACGTTAGTTCCCGAAAAATCACTTAGGAAAGGACCTAATTTTGTAATTTTATTTAAAAATTGGAATTTCTTTGTTTTCGCGCCAAAGGCGCTCTTGCAACCTTGATATCATATTTCCCACTGGGAAACATCTTAAATGCTATTGGTCTGCTGAGTCTTTTAGTATGCTATTTGGTAACTCTCCGCAAGGACAATTTTGTACTATATATATATATATATATATATATATATATATATATATATACTTTTTGAATTGTGTTAGTTTTTATCGCTAATTTCTGGTTGTTTGCAGAATATACTTCCTCATTCCAAGCTTGGACTTCTCCCTCTAGTTAACGGGGCTGGGATGCATCAATAGCTAGCTACTGGTCTTTGGTCACCGAGTCTTGTTTCTCGTTCGCGGATTAAGTGAACTCGTGATAGCCTCAACCCTAGTACTTCATAATCCAGTCAACCATAAAAAGAAGGAAAAAAGATGACTGTAGAAACTTAGGAGCAATTTACTGAACGGAAGATTTTCTCTCCGTTTATTCATGTTTTAAAATAAGTTCCGAACTTAGTTATAACATATATACATCTATATAATTCCCTTTTAATCTGGTTACTATTATAATTAAATTATAATTATTTTGCTTAATGACTGATCTGTTAGCTGGGTTTGTTCGGTTTAACTATTCGCATGTTAATGAAATTATAATCCAGTAATCACTTTTCTTTTTGATAATTTAAAGAATAAAATATGTCAGAATGGGTTTTGTGGAGCGTTTTTAGAAATCTCACAGGTTGAAATCATGAGTTGATTGAAGCTAGACCACCATGGAAAACCTGGAAGCACTGGACGGCCGTTTCGTCCTAGTGTGGGACTCCTCCGCAGTGCGCATCCACGATCCCGCACCACGCGGGGCTCGAACCCAGGACCTACTGGCTTCGCGCGCGAGCACCATTAGACCACTGAACCTGTGAAATTTCTAAAAACTCTCCACAAAACCCATTATGATACTAATCAACTGCTCACTAGTGACTGACTTCAAGAAAAACTCCTGGAATCCTAGTGAGAAGCCGTTACCAGTGGAGTTCAACCAGGTCTGTTGTGAGATAGTAAATCACTGAAGACATTGGTGTACGGTGGCACAACTTCGTGGATTGGTTGAAGTTAGACATTAACACCGTTGGATGCCGGCTCAATAAAATATGTTTCGGGATTTGTGGAGATTGTAGTATTTTAACAGTTCTAACAGTTCCTGTTAGTCATGAACACCATTAGATGCTGGTTCACTGATCTAGAGGTTAAACGATTGTGCATCAGAACGAAGATCCTGGGTTCGAATCTTGCGTGCATGATCGTCAATGTGCATTGCTGAGCAGTCTCATACTTCCGGGTTTTCAATAGTGGTCTAGTTTAGATTGATTCATGAATTGATCTCTTAAAATAAAATTTGTAATTGAATTTAACAAATGAACGACCTTTGAGTGACTCTAGACTGACCTTGAGAGTGTCCACTTAATAACCAGGACCAAATGAGAGTTAAAAACCTGTGTGAGGAATTAAAATTATAGATTACAGTCGATGGTTAAGGTTAGGAATTAGATTTTGAGTTCTCATCACGAACTGACATCAGTTTTAATGCCAGAACTCTATTTAGTCAAATAAGTGAATGTATTTCGCGGCAAAATTCGAGATCTGTTATCTTATACGTGATTGGTTCGTTCATAAATTATAGTCTGGCCAAAATTACAATAATATTTGATAATCATCTATGAATAAAATACATATAAACATAAGTTTTATGCTATTGATGTATTGTAAGTTAAAAGATTATGTTACAAATTATGTTTTAAAATGATCACTTGTAGATTACCACTGTTACGATAAGAAATCTTCCGCAGATGGTTATAACATATTGATTTTATATTCTTAAGCGATTAGACTTTTCACGATCTAAAAACTATATACTATATACTTAGTTTTTGTTGAAAAGCTCAAATATTTTCAACAGTTAAATCAAATATATTACTTACTTACTTATGCCTGTTACTCCCAGTGGAGAATAGGCCGCCGACCAGCATTCTCCAACCCATTCTTCCTTTCTAGTTCTAGCAAATTCTTGTTCATTCTTGTCATATCTGTCTCCAGTTTTCGGTGTAGTGTGTTGTTTGCTTTTCCTCTCCTCATTTGGCCCTGAGGATTCCATGTGAGCGCTTGTCTGTCCTTAATGTGTGTCTTATCCACTTCCAGCAACCCTTCCTCATTTATTCTTCCAATGGAATCTGGTTTGTTCTCTCCCACAGCAGGTTGTTGATGGTATTGTCCGGCCAATGGATCCGAAGTATTTTGCGTAGACAACTGCTAATAAACACTTGTATCTTCTGGATGATTGCTTACGTACTTCTCAAAGTTTCCACCCCATACAGTAGAACCATCTTGACATTTGTATTGGAAATTCTGACTTTGATATTGGTTAACACTTGTTTTGACTTCCAAATGTTCTTCAATCGTAGATATTCTGCTCATGCTCTGTCGATCCACGTCCTCACATAAATCAAATATATAGAGCATGTAATTTGATTCCAACTTTGATGGTAAGTTGGTATTAATTCTAGAATTGTTGAAAAGGAGACAGTAATGTAGCGAAAGATCTAGAAATCCTAAACTCTATCCAGATTACATTATCAGTGTGATTTACTGAACAGTATAGAATCAAGATGAATGAGCTGAAGTGTACAGTAGTTTTCATTGATATCATTATATAATATAAACCTTATTTTATTAGAATGATTGTCTAGTTGTTCATTAGATTAATACTCGTCATTTAGTGGAATCATTTGATGTTGGCATGTCCAACAGCTTACATATATCCTAGTTATGTTCAGCTAGCTGTTTTGTACTCAAAATCTATTAATTCCTTATCTTTCCCATACTTTTCATTACCTAATTTCATTTTTTTCAACTATGTTAAATTTTTATAAAAATGGGTTTTGTGGAGATTTTTAGAAATTTCACAAGTTGAAATCATGAGCCAATTGAAGCTAGACCACCATGGAAAACCTGGAAGCACTGGACGGCCGTTTCGTCCTAGCATGGGACTCAGTGGTCTAATGGTTATGTGCTTGCGCGCGAAGCCAGTAGGTCCTGGGTTCGAATCCCGCGGGGGGGTCGTGTATGCGCACTGCTGAGGAGTCCCATACCAGGCCGAAACGGTCGTCCAGTGCTTCCAGGTTTTCCATGGTGGTCTAGCTTCAATTGACTCATGATTTCAACTTGTGATATATTAAATTTTCCTTGGTAGGTATTCAATAGTAATGATTCTATGATTAGTTTTTATTTTCAGTCTATTCACTTTTCTCTTACTATACCCAATGATAAACTGTACTTACTAAAACTATTGACTAATTTTTCAATATTCTACTTGTCGGCAAATGAATGGATGACTACATACATCATACAACTAAATGATATTATCAAGCAACCAGTGATGACCATGCATTATCTCCAATTGATTAAAGTTCAAAATATATACCATAAGGTATCAGTTCAATGGCCTAGAGGTCAAAAGTTCAAGTGTCAGGGTGAAGGTCTTAAGTTTGATCATCGGTGAAATAATACATGTTTACTGATGATCAATTTTATATTCGAACAAAACAACTGTTCAATATTTCTTAATACTTAGTAGAAACTTAATTAGAATCAATGAATGATACAGTCTATGGATAACATAGAAATATTTCTGTCTAACATCTGGTGTATATTTTTCTACAATTTAACCATGAAAAATAGTCTAGCAACTTAATTTTGTGCTTTACCAAGACAAACATATAAAAATAAGTAATATATGTATATATATAGTGTCCAGTAATCTATCTGTACAAACTGATTCATTTTCAATGTTGATTAATCCATTTCTTAATTTAAACTTATATAATCATTTTTGTAAGTAATGATGGATAGTAGTTAGCAGTGAAATCCAGGACGCGCGTTTCGTCCTATTTGGGACTCGTCGGTTGGATATATATGCATCTCAGAGTTGATGTTCACTCTGGGACTCGAACGTAGTACCATTCGCTTCAAACGCTATCGCATTATCCACTTAGCTACTGAGTCCTGATAGCCACGTGCTTGTGCAATGGGGTGATTTTCACTTCACTTGGTATTATTTGGCTTGTATCTTCCCATTGATGTTTAGCACTGCAATTGACCAGTCCTGGATTCCACTGCTAGCCACTATCCATTATTGCTTACAAAATGCTTGTGAATTAAGGCAATACTGAGGCATACGCACAGTATGCACATATGCCGATATTAGACCTCACTGGGAAGATACAAGCCAAACAATATCAAGTGAGTTATATGATCATTCCGCTAATAGGACTGTAAATATAAAATGAAAGTAAATAATGCGCATTTTCATGGGAAAAGGGATACTTTTAGTTAAATAATTTGTAACTGCACGTAGTTTGTTTTAGAAATCTCTAATTTATAATTAAATGGATATATGAAAAATATTTGTCAAATAAAAAGTCTAATATGAATTTTAGAAAGGGATTTTGTGGTAAATGAATAGTTGAATTCATGAGTCAATTAAAGCTACACTACCATGGAAACCCTGGGACTCCTCGACAGTGTGCATTCACGATCCCTCTCGTGGAATTCGAACTCAAGACCCATCTGTCTCGTGCGCGAACGCTTAACCTCTAGATCACTGAGTCGGCATTGAATCCGGCAAGCGGGGTCGTGGATGTGCACTGCTGAAGAGTCCCATATTTAGACGAAACAAAAGTTCAGTGTTTCAAGGTTTTCCATGGTGCTTTAGCTTTAATTGATTCATGAATTCAACTATTAATATTAATGCACCTATGATAGATATCGTTGAAGCATGAGCTTTAATGATTGAAAGATTATGGATAAATATCTCAACCATTGAGTCAGAATATTTTGATTTGCATATAGTATGAATGAAGTAATAGATAAGTTACAGAATACACTATGAAACAATGGGTCTCTACTCAATTTCCTGAGAAAGTTTGGACCGAAGAAGAGGTAAACAGCTGACAATGATTGAAAAGACTTTTTATATGTGACCTCATTTTAACGAAGATATAATGATATATATTTTAACACACCAACATGGAAAATCTATTGAAATTACACTTACCGCTGCACAGTTGTATCTTACCTTCCCTATTAAACTGGTAATTAAACAATGACTCAAGGACAAGATATTGATGATTGGTTTTTTTATGTATGTAATAATTCGACAGCTCTTCTGGAGCTAATTACACAGGTCATACTCAGTAAGATTTATCGTTGAGTGTTTGTGAATATAAAACCTCATGGTTAGGAAAAAGAGTCATGAAATCCGTCAACAGCCTGATACTTTCCACTCAGTAGAAAACGAATATCACCGCAAAACAGATCAACCCTTCTTTGATCTCTGGAAAGTTTTGAATAGCCTATATAAAATAGTAATACTAACTTTCCTCTAACTAAAGGAAGTCGTCGGGATCAACTTTGAAAAAGTGGAACTTATACATCTAAAAAAGGAGCATTCACCAACATTGTTTACCATGCATTACAATTGAATCATCCTATATATAAGTCACAAATCAAAAACCTTTACTCTCCATAACCCTTTTATATTTATTACTGTTTTAATATTCGTCTTTCTCGATACATATGAATTTCTTATAGTAATTATTATGACGGCACTTGCATTATTACATATTATATTCTCTCGTTTCTATTGTCATTATCTGGACTAACTCTACAGAACATTCTTCCTGTTATCCACTTTATTCGCATGATTTATTTTATTACACTGACTGGAACTCTACACCTTACAACAAAGTTTTCTATATGGTTCTTAAGTAACCTTTAGAATTTACAAAATACAACTGTGGACGTATTTTACTTGTACAATCTACAAACGTCCACCATTTTAACATATAACATTGTTTAATATACTTACTTATGTATTCTACTGTAATAAAATAAATATGGATTTATAACTTAGGATTCTGATGACGAGACTAATGGAAAAATTGGTTCACCCAAATATTCCTTATTTTTGAATATTTTATAGAAATCATCAAACAGTTAAAAAGCTCTTGTAACATATAATCAATCTATATTTGCATGGTTCATCAATCCAGAGATTTGTGTGGACCAATTTTAGACCACCATTGAAAACCTGGAAACACCAGATGACCGTTTCGTTCTAATATGCTACACCTCAGCAACGCACATACACAATCTCGCACGTGGGGCTCGAACCCATGACCCTCAGTTTCGTGTGCGAACGCTTGACCTGTAGAACATGTTGTAACTTTAAAGCCGGCTAATTATCACGCGATTTATTTGCCAATCAAAATTGGCTTATAAAATCATAGTACTCACCCGAACCAATGACGTTCGACCGGTATGAGCAGTCTAGCGTCCTTATTGGTCTCTTGTTCTCTTAACCCTTCCAGTTGAGTCCAGAGCGCCAATAATAGCTTCCACCATGTGAATCATTTACTTCAAACATATTTGGTTTATATACTAGCCAAACAGACTGCATCACACTACAAAATAGGAAATAGCATTTATACAAAGTCAAGCCAAAAGGTGGCTGTGAACGTGGGTATAATTTAAGAATAGTAAATCGTAACTTCATATTCTATAGATCAAAATAAAGCTTGTAATAAGTGGAGTGTAGATATGCATAATATAGTTACTGAATAGCCATAGAATAAGAAAATATGTATAATATTAGTTCATTAATAGCTCACAGAAGTTACCAGTAATCTAATCTTCACTAGGTTATAGCATAACACTGATACGGCATCCAACGGTGTTAATGTCTAATTCCAACCAATCCAGGATACTGAACGATTGGTCATCATTGTCTTTAGTGTGCAGCTCAATTCATTAATTCGATTCATCATTGTCAAGTAACAGTAAATAGGAATTGGAATGTTTTCAGATATTTTAAATAAACCGGTTAAATCATCAATAACACTATTTTACGGATGTTTTATAAACTTTTGTTTATATGCATTACATTTTGTCGATTAAAAGTAAGAAACCTCAAATATTGGTAAAAGGTACTTATGATCTCGATCAATTATAGACAAATACTATGCTATGAAAGGTTAGACTCATAAAATGTATATTTTATAATGATTTTATTCTATTGACTGAAAATCTTCTGTTATGCTTAACGATTTTTGTGTTCAGTTTTTATTTCTTTTATACACTAATAGATGCCTGGAATTGTAATGGATAGAAATACTGGATCTACCATTGGTACCACACCACATGGTCGATGGATTGATCAACAGCAATATCTTGTTGAAACGTATCGTCAGATTCGTACAAATTTAGGTCAGTTAGAAGCTGAAATAGAAGCTGCACGATTAAGAGTCACTGATTGGACACGATTAAGACGACATCCTAGTCGTAGTCGTAGTTTGAGTCATGCTAGTGTTTCAACTACTGCAAGCAGTTTATTAAGTTGTAGTACATTTGAAAGTGGTGCAACAGATGCTTCATTTTTAAATGTTACAACAGATGGTACTACTGGTTCATCATGTCATTCATCATGTTCATCAACATGTGGTATTCAACTACCTTCAGAAATGGCAGCTAAATTAAGTGCAGCAACATTAATTTCAGCATTTCTAGCTGCAAGTCATGATTTCACTCAAGATAAAACTCAAGATTCAACTATTTCAGATAATTTAGAACAACCTATTAGAGCTCGTACACCAGATCAGTGTTCATCATCTAATAGATCACGTTCCAACAGATCAATCTCACCTTCATCACGATGAAACGACCAAATATACATGAGGCAATATATATAAATATATATATATATACTCAGGGTATTGGGTATTCATAATAAATTTGATGACATAAATCTCAATTCATTTCATTGTTGACTTTCACAACATTCTGGATCTAATTAATAAACGAAATGCATTTTTACTAAATATTCCATTTCATTCATTGATACAAAATAACAGATTTGTATTTGCATTGATTTACATACAGTACTTTACATCTTTTTATTTACTTTATATATACTCATATATATATCTATGTAACCATTTATGGTCATAATTATGTTGTGCGATTGTTGTTGTTTTCTTAAATATGCTGTAGGTCTGTCTTTCAAGCTTATTAATAAATCACTTTAAAGAAGGAAACAACGTAAATATCAACTATGTACTTTTAATAAATTGTCATCCTTTTTTCTTACTTATTTATTTACTTACGCCTGTTACTCCTCATGGAGGAGCATAGGACGCCCACCAATCCTTTTTTTTTCTTGATTTAACAAATTATGATACATTATATGTCTGTGAAATATTAATTAAACATTGAATAATCATTACATTTGTGGAGTGTTGGAATATTGAATGTTTTTTTTTTGTTTTTTTGAAAGTGTCCTCTTTTGTTCTTGTTAAGTTCATCTGTAAATTCAATGATTTTTTTTGTTTGTTCATCATTAAGTGGTTCATTAGCTACTGTCTTTTCTTTTCAAGTGATCCAATTCATTTTAATAATACTTTTTTAAAAAGAAAGAACAGACTGTAAATTTCTTCTATTTGTGTTTTGACAATGGTGACATCACGGTTACGATTGGCGAAAGTCTAGATTTATCCTTCAGGAGTTTTTTTCTTTGGCAGTATTATTAGAAAGGTGTTGTGTTGAGTTCATGAGTCAATTGAAGATAGAATACCTGGAAGCACTGGATGGATGTTTCGTCCTTTTAGGGGACTACTCAGTAGTGGGCATCCACGATCTTGTCCTGTGGGGTTTGAATTCAATTCCTATTCGAATCCAGGACCTACCGGTCTTGTGCGCAAATGCTTAAGCTCTAGACCACTGAGCTGGCATTCAACGATGTTAAGGTATAACTTCAACCAATCCACGAAATTAGGCGGCTGCCCACCAATGGCTTAGTTTCAAAATCTTATTCAAACCACAAATACCATAGGATTACTTAGATCTCATTTTATAGTTAAACTAATAGAATGGTAATTATCAGTATGAGGCTGTGAAGATTGTTATTTTTTTGATTGAGATTATGAATCGATAAATGTTAGAAACCCTGAACCCAGGTTTCGTTCTATTTTGCACCTGTCAGCAAGGTGTACCTGTAGTCGTGAGGGAACTAGTGCTCCCTGACGTATTCAATCCCGTGTCACCCAGCTTCAATGTCAGAGACATTACCTCTGAGCTAACCGCATCTCTACCAACTTCATGTAGGACTATCTCTAATCACCATCTTAACTCAAGAGCATTATTATATTACATTTAATTTACTGATATTCATCACGTAAAATGGGTATCATTTTTATAATTCATTGAAAATACTTTGTCATCATCTAGAATAAGATTTTATGCATTGAAAGTGATTGTTATTTGACATAACCATTTGATTTTCTAATTTTTACTGAAGATAGTTAACATTAAATCAGTTAACTTTCATGATATTGTTTGTAATCTATATCTCAAGTGTTCGTGGAACTTTGTTATTTTGTTCATCTCAAAATAGCTGTCAGTGTGTTTGAGGTGGCCTGCCTGAATATCTGGGCTACCGGTTCCTGCCATCTGGATATTTCAACAACATATCTGTTTCCCTGATTGTTTTAACACATCATTATGCCTATTAATTGCATAACCTATTCAGGTGCGTTTGTGAAAATTTTACAGCATTTCACTGTACAAGTTAGAAAAGAGCCCAATCGGAGACATCGTGCTAACTGGCAATATGCATTGAACAGAATATACATTGATCAAATGTCGATTCCTGAACTGCTAGCATTTAACTCCAAACCAGTCGATATTTATCTCAAGGGTCGATCAAGGAATAAGAAAACGGAAACTTGTTGAAAAACTTTATTTTGAGAGTTCTATATTGTACCAAAAATATAATATTGAATAAAACCACTAATAATATTAATAATAATATCTATTGTAGATTCCCATAATACTATTAACTTAGAATTGTGAGGCGAATTTATACTTGAAGACTATCCCTATGTGAAAAATGGGTTAAAATATTTTTCATACTAAATATTATCTCATCATTTATTAACAAGCATTTGTCATGTTCATTTGCATTCAGAACTCATCTGTCTATCAAATTAAAAGTAAGCTACAATTATCTTGACTTAGTTTTTAGTCTAAGGATGAATGAAGTTTGAATATCGCGTTACGCTGAAAGATGATCCACGAGAAACATTTTAGTTTCATAAGCCCTTGAATGCATATTTAGAGGATTTGTATCGCGTTTCGAGACTTCTTTTACACTGGTTCTCTGTGTATCTTGCTGAAAACTTAAGGATCAGAGTGACGTAAGAATCTATTATCAGGCCTTCGAAACATTTTCAGTTCGTGTTGATTGATATTTAAAGCCATTTGAGTTTAATTTCTTCAGAATATCTTAAAATGATAATTTTCACAAGAAGATGGGTTTTACAAGTGTAATAATTCTAACATCTGCTGATTTATGATGGCATGTCTTTGACCATAATAAATCACTCAGTAAGAAAGTGCAGATCAATTTTGTTCACTTAAAAATGTATAAATGCAATATACGCTGTCAATTAAGATACCAACAATCTGGAATAGATGCGTTTGCAATCTGTACTTTCTTAATGCTTTTTTTTTATTATAAACGGCATACATTTTTTGTGTACTTTCTTTTATTTCAATACTTGAGATCACGAGTCAATTAAAACTAGACAACCATAGAAAACCTGGAAGCACTAGACGGCTGCCTCGTCCGATTGTGCGGCACACTCGGCAGAACTCCACTGGTCACTGCTTCTCACTAGAACTCTAGGAAATACCTCTTGAAGCCAGTCATTAGTGAGCATATATTGATTAGTAGGAGAAGGGATTTTGTGTATATTGTAGTAATTTCAATAGTTGAGATCATGAGTCAGTTGAAGTCTGTTGTGAGATAGTAACTCATTGATGACAATAGTGGATGTGTCACTCAATTTCGTGGATTAGTTGAAGTTAGACATTAGCACCATTGGATACCGACCGGCTCAGTGGTCCAGTGGTTAAGCGCTCGCGCGCTAGACTGATAGGTCCTGTGTTCGAATCCCACGGGGCGGAATCGTGGATCGCACTGCTGAGGAGCCGCACAATCGGACGAAGCGGCCGTCTAGTGCTTCCAGGTTTTCCATGGTTGCCTATCTTTAATTGACTCATGATCTCAACAACTGAAATTCATTTTATTTGTCCAAATTATGTAAATTATTCAAATATTTCAAGAAGTACAACGGAAACCTTGTATTTTTAGATAGGAGAGTTTTGGTAAGTGTATTATATATCTTTTTTACTTGTGAAGATGCTGTGAATCACTTTTGAAATACATGGCTGAAAAGATAGTTGTTTCATTTTAGTCTCTTTTTGATTTTAAATAAATAGTTAGTGGACACAACGACACGTTCACGAATTAATCTCAAAGTCTAAGTTAACTGATATTTTGTTTTATATAATGTAAAAGTTTCTGACTGTCATCATTTGGAACTTCCATCCAGCGACCATTAGCATATGCTTGTACATTCATTTTATGAAGACTTTTGCGGTAAAACATACAAGTAACAAATGCATTGTGAACACAAGTATGTAAAGCCAATTATGAGTGGAATACCTGAAAGCAGAAGGTTGGGAAGAACAAATCGAAGAGAACGGGAACAAAGATTAATTGTTATTGGCAATGAAGTAACGATGAAGTTTTTGACAACTGATGGAGGATTTGGAAATGAAATATTGAACGTATGGCTTTCACATTTGATGAAAGAACTGTTTTTGTTGTTGAAAATATATTGGTTGTCACTACCTACACATTTACATATTGTTTTTTTTTACTTTATCAACAACAGTAGAAACCCCTGTGGTAGTAATGGTGAAATATATTTAACAGCCTAGTTTTTATGCCTTTTTCTGTCTATCGTCACGCTTAATCAATACAGCTATTGGTTGGTCAGTAGTATAAATGTATCATTTATCCTGAGGTTTATTATATTTGACTGTATCAATTTGTCTAACCAATATATACCGATCATTTGGGAAATTACAACACTATCTCATTTATATTATGTTTGTTAATCCCTATAGTAATGATTATCATGCACCAAAGACTTACAATTGCACTGAATATTATTAGATGTATATAAACATGTTTGTTCGATAAAGCGTTCATATCGGCGAATTAAAAACGTTAAATATAATTAACTTCATAATGTTAGCTATACAACTTAACAATTTGCATACACCCTGTTGAATATAAGTTTATATGTAAGCATTCATTGTAATTAGCCTAATGTAACAATTACAGATCCCAGTGTGTATAAAGATAGTAAGTACATTTTACTAAACTAATATCATATACTGATTGAAATCATGAGTTAATTGAAGCTAGACCACCATAGAAAACCTGGAAGCACTGGATGGCCGTTTCGCCCTGGCATGGGACTCCTCAGTAGTGCGCATCCACGATCCCGCACCCAACGAAATTCAAACCCAGGACCTATCAGTTTCTCGCCAGGCGCTCGTGGATGCACGCACACCACAATGCGTCTAGGTAGTTGATTTTTAAAAGCTACTTATATCTTTTTGCAATTATGAAAGTGAATAATGGATAGGTCAATTAATTGATATTATGACAATGGTACATGTAGAGCTTTTATTTTTAAAAAGAAATGAATTAACCTGAATCACTAATGAAAATCATATTGATAAATAATTCGCTGAAGTTGGTTTCGAATATCAAATAAAAAATAATTATCAGTATAGAGTTATAGAGATTGTTACTAATAATTATCATATGCTCACTAGTGACTAGCTTTAATATGAGTTTCCTGGAGTTCTAGTGAGAAGCTATGACTAGTGGAGTTCATCCATATCTATTGTAGAGGTAGTTACTCACTTAAAACAATGGTGGACGGTCGCGGAAGTTCGTGGATTGATTGAAGTCAAACATTAACACCGTTCGATTCCTGTTCAGTGGTTTCGAGGTTAAGCGTTCGCGCACGATACTGAAATGTTCTGGGTTCGAGTGTTGTATGTGGGATTATGGATGCGAACTTTCAAAACTTTCATATTGGGATGAAACGGCCGTTCAGTGCTTCCACGTTTTCCATGAACTCATGAACTAAACTATTAAATTACTACAATCTCCACAAAAACCTCTTCATTTAGATTCATTCTTTAGAACAAATTTATGCAGAAGAAGAATGATGTTATTCAACAAAGTATTTTGTTACCATCATACATCAACGGACGCCTAAACTGTTACTAAAAGTCTCTTTTCTTTACCGAGGTTTAGCTTCTAGATTAGTTTTTATTGAGAAGAACTTTGAACAATAGGGAAGGGTTAGTTGTTTTTTATGGGGGGGGGAATTACTCACCATGTAATCACAGTCATATTTCTGATTGATTTAAACATATAACTCTGTTTAAAACAACATTTTTTGAGTATTAGAAACTACATACTAATCAAAATACCACCAAAATCTATTCATTTTGTTAAATAAATAAATGAAAACTACTATTCATGGTT